AGAAAAGGGGTGGAGATGGCATGACAAAAAGTATTGACGTTTCTCAGCTGGTGGGGAAGAGGGGACAGTGGCTCCCAGCAAGGCACTGTACAAGAAGGACATAGTGATTCACTGGTGGTTTTCTCCAGCTGGAAGCAGAGAAAGGTTTCCCCATCATCAGTCCTACGCAAACATCTACCCACACCCACCTCCGGCAAGGTCAGAAATAGCACCCAGCACACCCCAACACTCACGCACCGGCTTATCATGCAGACGAGCAGCTGAGCTTCTCCTTTTCTTCCCTGTTGCAAAATCCTACAGTAGGAGCCTACCATCTCACAGAGGTTGAGCAATGCCATGTGAGAGAGTGATGACACAGAAGAGAAGCTTTAGCAAGTGTGGCCTCGAGCCCCCGGTCCTGGCCCAGGGTCCACCGCCACACTGAGCTGTGCCCCATGTCAGAGAGGGCCGGCAGGGACACGCTCGTGAGAGATTTGCACTGCAGAGCCTGCAGGTTGGCTCCTCTTCTCACTCAAGCCAGGTGGGGACCAAGAGTCCTCTTCACCCCTCCTTGCCAAGCCTGGGACCATGGAGAGAAGAACCAGGCATCTGCCTTCCCACCTTCTCACCAGCGGGCCACCACCAAATCTGGGTGACAAGAGTCATGGTGGGGCCCAGCATCGTCAGCAGTGACCTAACTTAGGACACCTTCCCGCTGCACTCTGCAGAAATTATTTCCAGATCACTGTTGCATCCCACAAGGAAAGGAATCTGAAGTCTTGCCTCTCCGGTGTCGTCATCAAGAGATAAAGCACCAAGATTCAAAATGGGATGTGGGCTGGATCAGTAAATTTGATGTCCTGAAGGATCCACACTACAGTGATTCTAAGGCACTGCATGTTAACGATGAATACAAACAACAAAGCATCTTCAAACACTCACTAAGAGGTCTCCATGCCTTAGGCTAAGCAATATTGTACATCCCGAGCCCACGCACGCTGGCAACAGCACCGGGCAGCCCAGCCCTAGGGCTGCAGGGTGACCTGCATCCTCACATGGTCATTTGCTTTCATAATTACAGGAAATTGCAATTTAGGCTGTGTGCAGAGGGAAGCATCCGTACCTGGCAAGAGTGCTGGTACAGCTTCAAGGATCTCAGAAAGACCCTGCAGGGCCACATCCCAGGGAGCAGCATGAAGAGGGGATGAGCCAGGAGCCCCAGCGCTGGCCATGCCCTCCCCAACGGGGCACAGACCCGTGGGGTCTCAGCACGGCTGGTAGAGCCAAGGGGGGGACAGGGTCCATCGACAGCCCCAGACACAGCGAGGGGATGAACCAGGACCAGGGTCCCTCCGGAGAGCCCGGTCCGGAGCAGGAGAAGGGGCTGGAGACAAAGCTACAAGGCAGGTCCATGGTCCGTGCAGCAGCCAGGGCTGGAGATAGGGACACATCTAACCCAGCTCGGACAGGCATGGGACACCCATGCCTGAGCTTAAACGGCGACCCATACCACGTTTCTCAACACTGTCTGGGCTCTTCAGTTCTTACGGCAAAAGCTGCTTTTTATCACAAAATCTCACACATATAAGGTGTCCTTCAAAAAAGCCAGATAGGCTGAATGCTGCCAGCCTGGTCAGGTGGGATCAATACTTCTGCTTGTTGACGCTAAGGAGGATAACATAGCCCCGTTGTCTTCAACTGAGCATGTCATAGTTGTGGCACACCAGGAATGCCCACTGGCTCCAAAAACATCATGACTTTCACAGCTCTGTGTCTCAGCTGTGCTTTGCAGAGCTGGGAACTACAGGTCCAGGTGAGTCCGGGTCTGCAGGTGCAGGCACTGCTAAGGAGAGCTACGCTTCTCAGCCGGTCAGCCCTAAATCTCTCCCTGAGTCCCAGAGCCAGGAAAAAGCTTTGGGTTCATGAACTGTAGCAGCAGCATCGCTCTGACCCCCCTAAGTTTGAGGAAGCGTGACCCCAGAATTGATCCATCAGATGCAAGCAAACCATAACGAGAGATAAAATGAAATAAACACTTCCCTGGTCACTTGTTAACATCTGTCACTGACATTTGAAAAAGCCAGGCAGCGAATGCAGCTAAAAACAGGGGCTCAGTTTTCAGCTGACCAAGCTACAATGAGCCAGCCAAGGAGAAAGACCTGCCAAGCAAAATGCCCTTGGCAGGGGAACTTCCACTAATGCTCTTAGCCTGTTGCAAATGCAAAGTAACACAGGCCACAGTGGAAGGTGCTTAAATTAGGTCAGGCTTTTTTGGCATTTTCTCTGAGCGGAGAGCACGTAGGGACAATCACCAAGGCTGACACTCAGCAGCTTGTGAGGATGGGGTGATCTGTGCCATTCATTCGTGCCCTTAGTCATTGGCATTTCAACATGAAAATGTAATACCTTTGAATTTGGGAGCTCGTAACACTCAAACTGTCATTTTCTCTGGCACGGCCACTATTTTTCCTGCATGATGTTCAGAGCTGCTGGCTAGTAAGTACAGCTAAAGTGGTGGAAATGCCTGGCTACGTCCATCTGCATCCTCATTTCTTGCCTAGTCTCCTTACTAAGGAGACCAGCGCAATTACCCATCCAGGCCTCAAGCCAAGATGATAAAAGGAAAACACAGGCCAAACCCACCAAAAGCACGATGGAGCCCCTTCACCACTGCCTAGTGCTTGTATGGATAGACTGGAAAACCAGGAACAAGCATGTACAAAGGGAGTAGTTAGAAAAATGACCAGTGAAGGCACTTGAGCGGCTTGACACCAGGATTTTCTCGGTCAGCAGGGTTACTGACCCGACGACACAGCAGACGGACACCTGGACAGTCACTGACCTGGCTGGCAAGAGAAATGGGCCATCTTCGTGTATGGCACTCAGGGAATGGGGCAACGATGGTGGGGAAGCAGGGGGAGTAATTCCTATCACATCTGAGCACATCCTGGATGGAGATCCTTGGTGTCGGGCAACCAACTCATCCCCCTGACAATGTGAATTAAGGTTTGGCCTTGTGCTCACTGCAAGCTCATCAAACCCCAGCAATGATGGGAAGAGGCATTTCCCTTGGGAGAAAGAGCAACCCACAGAAGATGCACTCCTAGGGAGCTGTACTTCCCACTAGAAGCTTGTTTTCTGGTTACTCTCTGGTTTTGCTCTCCTTCATCAGATCCGAGCCATCCCCCTCCCATGCCCAAAGATGTGGTTGCATTGGCTTTCGTCAAGATAACATTTTTTAGGCAAAGAAGAACAGCATCCTTACACTTCTCACCTCAAGCAGCTTTCTCCAGCCATCTGCTCATTTCTGCAGCTCTTCTCTGCACCTCTCCCACCTTCCTTTCAAAACAGGACCACCAGACCTGGACACAGGACTCCTGGGCTTGAGGATTAACACAGGGTACAACAGAACACCGGACTCGCTTTATCCCTGGGTGAGATTTACACCAAAAGGAGTATGTTCATTCAAAACACAGAAAAGCAAAGACACGAGATAAAGTATGAACTGCACTATTATGTGCAGTTCTATGCAAAACAAGAAGCATCCCCATTGTTCACCTCAGCACCCTCACCCACTCCCAAGACTCATTCTCTTGGCCTGGCACCTTCCCCTATTACCTGAAGATAAAATTTCTTTCAAGGGGATCCTGCTCCTTCCTTCCAGCCTTCCCCCAAGAGTAAAAACCAAAAGACCCCTCCTATGCACGATCCCAAGCTCCAGTCTCTTGCCTTCTGCCCAGGGAAGCTTCCTTGCCTCTTTTGCTTGGGTTCTGGGACATCACATCACAAGACATTTAAAAGCTATGGGTTTTTTTCCTGGATCTGGTTTTTCCTAGATCTGGAGCTGTCTTTCCTGTGATGCTCACACCAACCCCAAACATGGTGGCATATTTCCTGAAACTAGCAGCAATGTGCCTGACTGAGTGAAAGACCCCACCAGGCTTGTACATGCACTTGGATTTAGAGGGTTGCTTCTGGGGAACACTCACACTCACAGAACAAAGCCAGGTTTTGTAGACAATACCCATTTGCTATAAAACTACACTGGCTGATAACAGTTCCTTTCTTATCAGTTATCCACTTAACACCAATTACTAACTTTCCCATTCTTTTTGCACTAGGCTGCCCTCAGGCTAAATACATTAGGGGTGTAAGGGTCATCTGCCCTTTCCCATGCAGGCAGAGTATCCCCAATTTCCCTGCAATACAAATTCAGCACGGTTTAACAGGAAACACCTCAGCCAGTTCTCTTAAGAGGTCCTGCGTGCTGATCCTCTCTGCCTGCTGATTTAAAGGCATTTGCCCAGATCAGGCATCATTCAAATTCCCCGCAGTTAATACACAGCCATAGTACAGTTCAGTCTCCCCCACAAGAAAGGCTTGTCACCGATCCGCTCCAGACCTCTGTGCACCCATCTCTGCTTGTAAGCAGAAGCTGTCACAGTTCAGGCACACATGCCAAAGCTGTTCCTCCAACAGTCATAGTTTAGGTTATAAATGATATAAGCCGTGCTACTGCTTGGACTGGAAGGAAAGCCCTGGGGCTTTCCGCTCAGAGCAAGCTGGGGATACAACCTGCGAAGACCAGATGCCGTAGGAAGCAAGAGCTCCTAAAACACCTCAAAGGCAGCGCAGGAAGATACTAGAGCAGTTAATCCTTACACAACACAACTGCACAGACCCATGTAGCCTTGCAACAGAAGAGCACAGCAGCCAGGACCTGAAACAATCCCAGCCTTAATACAAGCTTTGGCTGATCTTGCCCCAGTCGGGTGTCGCATACTGCAGTGTTTTCAAAAGCAGAGTGTTTCTTCAGTGAAGACCGCTAAGGGCTTCCACCTCTTACTCAACACCAGAGGCCAGGTTAAGGGACAAGGAGGCAGGGTTTACCTCCCATGAGATCAGGGTCCCCCATTCCTTGGGCATGACAGACAAGGTCACAAATAAAAGCAGACCCTCCCTCTAAAACAGAAGCAGCTCAAAAAGAAAGCCACACACCACAGCAATTATGAATTAGGATTTTATGGTTACAGTAGTCACTTAACAGGGATACTGAGGGGGTTTTTTTTTAATCAGAATTCTGATGTTGGAGTTGCTTTATTGGGAAAGCTGTAGGAAGACCAAAACGGCTGCTCTAAAATGGAATTACAAAGAGGAAAAAGTTGAGATCATACTGTGGTTTAAAGGAAAGTTACATAGTTTAACTTGCATAGCACAAGCATACATAAGTAGTTAAAAGGCATTGATAAAGCCCATCACAATTTGTGTTATTGCTTGATTTTTTCTTTTCAATCTGAGCAACTGGTTGCTGGTCTCTTCTGGAACCAAGGTAGGCTTATTTGCAGTTACTGGTCAGTAGTTTAATTACATTTTGCCAAGGAATGGTGTACACTACAAAGTCACAGGTGGTGTGCTAAGGAAAGAAAAAAAAAGCAGTTATCAGATTAAGAGCATAAAACAGTGTCATTGACTACTGCTCTACACTGAATTACCACCCCACATGATCCAGAAACTATGCCAATTCCATGGCTGTCTAGATTTACCCTCTCCTGACAAGTATTCTGGAACACCACTCTTGTTAGTACCTGCTCAGGATGAATAATTTTTTTTTTTTTTCCAATAAACACTAACAGAGAAGCTGAGCAGTCAGCACTTCTGAAGATCAGGTTACCTCCTTTACCCATTCACACAGAGGAAAGCTTTCAGCATGGGTAATACTCCAACATAAGCTCTCAGGCACAGGTAAGCACACCTGCACAGCTAATCTGTATGTGCACGTGTCAAATCACAGCAGCTTTCATAATGGTACACACAAGCTTCTAGCTAGGTGCTTAATGGATCACTTGCGTGCAGTTACACTTCTTGTACATGCAGGCAGAAAGGGCATGTACACAGAGAAGCTAAGCCTATCACTGTGATTAAGAGAAGTAATGAAGTACTATGAAAGACCTAGACTCAGACCAGATCAAGGCAGACATATTTGGTGCTCCTATCTGAAAAGTTAAAGTACTCCTTAAAGAGCATTGTCATTAGACAAAACTCACGTGTAACAGCTTGGTAGACACAGAGAACAGGGGTAATCTGCCTCTTGTGATCAGCGCTTAGCCCAAAGTGCTATTCACAGTAATAAGTCCCCCAGGGAAGTGTGTCAAGTCAAGCATGTTTACATCAAAGGAGCAGAAAATGGTATGGGGACTCAGGACCCTGGACCAAGAGCCAGGAGACCTGTAGGCTTGGCAGAGTTTCCTCCATATATCCTTGTGATCCAGACCACGAGCACTTTTTAGGAATACTGAGGCACGCACAGTCCTCCATGCACTACAGCCTCGGATCCCCATTTACAAAACAGGTGAAAAGGCCCTGCCTTCTCCGTCACCATCACCTGGCAAGACAAGTTCTGCATGGGCAGTGTCTCATTAAGTGTAAAGGCATGAGGTCTCTGATTCTGGCTGGGGCAGACAAGGGACACTGCCCATACCTCTCTGTACTAAGCCAGCCGGAGGGACTGGGTTGGAAACGCATGCCGTGCTCTGGAGCCTACCTTAGCCATCTGCGGCGCATCATGGAAAGCACAGCTCTGGAGATCAGTTGCCGGCTTTGGGCAAGTTGTCCGGCCAATCTCAACTGTCATTATGTACTTGATTCCAGACACAATCTGCAACAAGACAAGCGGGCAGAAGCAGCTTTATTTGCAGCCCATACAGAAGGGCTCTCTGATGAGAGAAGCCTAGCAGAAAGGCAGTTTTCTGGTTACACGATGGCCCAGAAGTACAGAGGCGATTGCGCGTGGCAACCTCCAAGGAAGAGGCACTTGGCACCCTTTCAAAAACAGGAAACAAAATCCAAGTAAACAAGCCTCACAGGGCAGCTTCCTTGGTCAGTAAACAGAGACATGTGTTAACTCAGCACCGTAAGGAAGTTACAGCTTCTTCAGTAACACACAGTGCTCAAGGGCATTCAGACTGACAAGACCCAAGCCTCGGAGAAAACAAGCAAACAAACAAACAAAAAAACAACAACAAAGAGAGGCTTTTATTCACCTTCTGAGGAAGAAAACAGCTTCAACAACCCCCTCAAGCTTGAGGCCTGCTCTTTCTCCACAGAAATCCCACAGGCCTCCTTTTCAGCTGCTCCCCGGAGGGTGCCGGGACCGACCCCGACACCCCCACCCCGGCCGCCGCCGCCGTCCCCGAGCCCGTCCCGTCACCCACCTGCCTCTTGGCGCTGATGATCCGCACCACCCGGCTGGAGTACATATCGTTGCTGGCCTTGTTGTACTCCGTCACGGCGAACTGCAGGGCCCGCTGCAGCCCCTCATCGTTGTCGGTGTTATCGATGTCCACCGGGGCTCCCAAAAGCCGCGGGCGGTCTTCACGGGCCAGCACGGCGCCGGCGAACATCAGCGCCGCGACGAGCAGCGTCAGGCAAACCCTCGCCCCCGCCATGACTCCGCGCTCTGCCGCCCTCCTTCCAGCCGCCGCCATTTTAAGGCCGGCGGGGCGGGTCGCCTCCCCAAACACACCGCCCCGGCCCGCCTTCTCCCTCCGGCACGGAGCCGTCCCGCAGCGGTAGAGCTGCCCGGTGACCCCCCTCCTCGCCCCGGCAGGCGTCTGCCATAGGGATGGGCAGTGTCAGACACCCCGACGCGGGGCTTCTCTGTGAGGGAACTCGCGGTGCCCTGGGACAGAAGCTTCCCCCTCCGAAACCCCTCTTGGTGCTGCTCCTTTTTCTCTTCAGAAAGGCCAGCGCTGTGAGGGGGAAAGGGTTTCGGTAACCCCGGAAATCAATCTGCGCTGGGGAAAGGCTTGTGCCCTAAAGCCATCTTGCTTGTGGGAAGGCACCTGTGTGCCCTTGTCCCTCGGGGAGGGGACAGGAGGAAGGTGAGGGGGTGGCACTGCCATTTTGCTGCCCGCGACCCTCCACGGGGGGTACGGGTGGAGGAGGATGTTTTCCCACACGGGTCCTGGAAGTCGGAGACTTTTTCCAGGCTCTGCCTCCTCACGGGTTATTCTAGCACTTCTTTCCCTCTGCTGCGGAGGGAAAATAAAAACCACAGAGCGTTTTAAGCTACAAGTGTGGCTCCCAGCACAAAACACCATGTATCATTTCCTACAGCTGCCTCCGCAGTGTCGGTGTTACCTCATCCACACTAATTGCTCTGCTGAAGGCCAGAGGGGCATCTGCGGCCGGGGCGGCTTCCCAGACAGATCGCTTCACTTCCAGTCTCCTCTCGTAACCACAAGCCTATCTCCCCCATCCCAGCAGGAATCCTAAGTTTGGAAAGACGGGACCCAATATAGCATGAGGGAGCTAGCTCCAGTGGGATTTAAGGCCTCGTGGAGTTGTTAGGCTAAGGGAGGGCAAAGTTTTCCGCCTGAATATCCGCAGCACGCCTTATAATGAAAAGGAAAGAGCATGTGCGCTGACTGGAAAGGCCGCCTGCATGCCAGCAATACCCAGCATGAGAGTTATCGCTGGAAAAATCCCCGCAGTTGGCAACAAGCTGTGCAACTAATTCAACAACGACAGGGCGTTGGGGTAGTTTTTACAGCTAGAGAAAGGCACGAGCACCACCGAAAGCACCAGAGAGGGGACCGGGGTGTGCGTATTGGGACGTGAGCCAAAGCTGCTAGCAGCCACAGGAGTCTGTCTCCATTTATCTTTTCCCTAACTGGCCTTGGATCCAGACTGGATCAGTTTAAAACTCAAGGTTAGAGCTCGCCTTCGTGTCTTCAGAGGCGAAGGCTCTCTTTTGCACTGTCAGTGACTGCTGCCAGCGGGAACAGCCGGCTCTAGCCTCAATCAGTCACTGCACCTCCAACATACCTGCCAGGTCTCTCCCCACCACCCTGTGCAGACCCTGCCAGCTCAGTCCTCCATTGAGCAGTGCCCCGGCTCCCAGCCGCTGGAGATGCTCACCAGCCCCACGCAGCACACGCAGGGATCTGTGCCTCACGCTATCACACAAGGGAAGCACCATGAGAGGGAAAACCAGTGCCTTTGGGATTCAGGGAGCTTTCACCTTGCAGGCAAACAAGCAAGCAAAGTCTTAGCTCTGCTTGGGTCACCTCATTGGAGTGAAGGTATTCAGTGTGGCTTAAATTCACACTGGCAGGCAGTAAGTCAGCTCTCGGTACAGTCCTGGTGATCTCATGGTTATTTCTGCAAGCGGACGTCGTGCGTGGTACAGCATGACACAGCTGCATTCCCTCTTCACCTCTGCTTCGGCACCACAGCATGCCCATTCAGCCGGCCTTGTTCTGCCTCAGAAACCCAGGGTTTCAGTGTCTTCTCACATACCAGTCTGTCACTGGCCCAATGAATAATTGATGCCACAAAGCCGCTCAAGCAGAAAAGGCTGAGGAAGCAAAGGAGACTTGCTTCAGTAATGTGAGGGGTGGTGACACTTTTTTGGAGGAAAAGGTTCACCCTCCTCCTCAGGCAGATAATCATTCACACAGTATGGAAGAGGCTCAATACAAAGCAGAACCATCCTCTCCAAGACAGAGACCATCTTGCCCCCAGAGAGGCAACAGCCTGGGCACAGATGTGGAAAAGTTTCTGCCTTGAGTTTTATGAAGCAGAGCCTTCAGGCTGGGTTTCCTCTCTCCCTGGGAATTACCCTATGTACTGGCTTCTCCCAGGTGGAGAAGTGTCTCTATGAAGTTTCAACCAAAAGTTTCCTCCTCATCAAACCACTGCCTACAGCTTCCCCAAGCTGCAATTGAGGCAAAAGAATGTTTTCCAAGGAGTAATTCCTACCCCCTTCCCGCACACTGCAGACAGGCTTTCCAGAAACACTCTCTGCCCTCCTGCTCACACCACCAACTTTCAAACCTAGAGGCAAAGTTTACATTTGGTTTGAGAAAGGGGGAGAGGTCTCAAAGACCACAGCTTGCCTGCCACAAGCACTGCATGGTAGGGGAGAGCAATCCCATTGCCAGCAGCAGCAGTGCCCAGTCTGCCACATCCAGCTTTTTCCCCAAAAAAAGTGCACAGGGCACTTCAACATTCTATCACAGTGATAATTAAGGTTTCCTCTCCACGTACGCAAGCAGAGGAGTCTGCTGGATTTGCAGCTCAGAAGTCAGCTTGGCCCCTTTCTGCCAAGTGACTTAAGCCAGGTGCTAGAGGTCCCCAGCACTGATGGTCCTCGAGCATCAAATATCAAAATTTCCTGTTCTCTTCCCTGGTCCTTCAGCATTCCTGCTCCCTCCCACAGAAAACAGAGACATATCTGGAGACCTGTTGGATGCCTGACAGCTTTTCTAAATGTCTGAAAGGAGTTGCACATTGGTCAATGTCATGTTGTCCTCTTCCTTGGTCAGCAACACTTCAATCAGTTGAACACATATAACTGCAGAAAGCAGAGCGAGCCTATGCTCAGCAGTGTCAGTCCCTGGAGTTTCTTTGGTGCCAGGATTTCACTTTGTCTTTCCTAATTGATGCACCAACATTTATTCTGCAAAAGGGTAGCTGACAGAGTCCCTCTTTGACACAGTTCATGCCTTGCTTCGCTGTGCAGAATGGCTAAAAAGGTAAACTTGCCCTTCAGAGTTCCTGGTTCTCCAGCTTGGGCAGTGCCAGACGGACCCTGCAGACCCACAATGAAAACAGAAGCAAGCTGCATTTGACTATTGCCCGTTCAAACCTCACAAAATCAGGACTTGAACCAAAGCAATTTTGGGAAAAAAAGGCTTAGCAAAAAAAATTATGCTCTACAATCAATGAATAAAGGGGACCTTGTTCATGAAATAAAACTGCATTTTGTGCTTTTGTTTCTGAAAGGCACAACCATTTTTCTCTATCAGAGGTGCTTTTTTTAACATAAATAAAACATAAATTCTCAAATAACCAGATGACCAAAGGAGCCAGTAATTTAAGGAACGTACCAAGCAGCAGGAAACTCATGATAACATTGCAAAAGTTTGTAATGCTGTGTGCTATGACTGGAAGAAATAAGAGTTTTAGGGTCTTCTTACATGGTTGGTTCAACAGCATTTGTGCAATATCCAGTATATTTTCATCTACCTTTTTGCTTATGTTTCCATTTCACTCAGGACTGGTGAGCTTTTTATGTTACCAGGCATACTTGTTTCTCCAGATAACTGCTGCATTCTTTGTCCTTGCTGTTGACATCCCTCATCTCTCTTTTAACATCCAAAGGAACAATTATAGATGTCTCTACTCGGTAGCTAACTGAAAAGCTCTGGAATACTGTGACATGTCTTTCAAAGTACAATTAGACAAGGATGTTTGAAAAAGCAGCTAGTCCTTTAATCAAGAACAACAGTTTCTCCACAGAGCTGAACTCTGAACGACCCTCAAGAGAGAGTAATTACTGTGATAGAGGCAGGAACAATGGGAAAAGCATGATATAACACTAAACATCTGGTTTCAATTTCTCTTAACCGAGGGACAGCAGGCCAAATCTATGCTGGGGTCAGGGCTTTGCATCCTGCTAAGTGAATCTAGAGCAGCAAAGGGTGGGGTGCTGGCATGGCTCCCCGTTTTCCTCCCACCGCGCTGCGTAACTAACACAAGGTGATGGAAGGGAGGCGTTTCATAAAAGGATTGCTTTCAAAAAGCTGAAAGCCTCTTGAGCAAGATAGTCAGCAGTTTATGAGACGGGGCTGAAAGTAAGTGATTCAATACCAAAGGCAAAGCCGTTTCACTGCTGTTGAAGAGTGCCCTCTGCTTACGGAAATGAACCCATCCCATACCAGCTCACATTCAGTGATGGTGGGAGAAGTAGGGATCCTCTGCCTTCCTTTGAGACTCATGACCACCTCTGTCCACTCCCTGCTCTGGCATACAGAGGCATTTATTTTTTCAGGAGAGGAACGGAGGCAATGCCATGACTTGTCCACACAAGGAAAATCAGGGCCCTATCTTCGCTCTCAGCTTCAAAAGGGGGGTCTCTGAAATCTAGGCAGCTGATTTCAAAGTGCCCAGGCTACATCTCTTCTGCATGTAAATACGCCTTCACATGCTGGCAAGCTCTTGCCACAAGCAGCCAGGGGTGGCTTTTCTGGATAGACTGCAAGGCGATTCTTCTGCTGAAAAACACTATGTGCCAGGACAGGCTTCAAAAGCACTGAAGGGCTGCTCTGAACATACTTCAGTCCTGGCAGTACAACCAGATTAGTACAGACCCTCCCTCCAGTCCCTCTGAGACACAACTACGCTTCCTTTGCTCTTCACAGTAGCCTGGAAGGAGCTAATGACTGTCTACGTTAAATAAGCTTAGTACTCAGGACTGAGCGCACCTTGCAGGCAATTCAGTGGTAACAGAGCTATTACGAAACATAGGGCCCCAATCTAGGTGCTGAGCTCTCTTGAAAGCACAGCTCTAGATTTCTTGGGAACAGGAAAAAAAAAAAAAACCAACAGGAAGCAAGTGCAAGTAGCACTGAGTCCTGTTCAGTCACTGGCAGTCACTTTTAGGAATCAAATGCCAACAACTCCCAGGACTGATCTCAATAAGGTCAACAATT